CAGTTTACCCTGGCCTGTGGCCAAGGGTGATTGACAATGCACTGCCATGTCGGGTTTGAATAAGCCGTTGAGATCGACGAAGTCTTGATGGTGGGCCCCGACCCCAGAATGTCGCTAGAGGGCTGTATGATCAAACTCGCTTGGTCCAGTTTGAACGATCTCTACACCGGACACCAAAGAAAGGATAACATTGGTTGGAAATCTATGTTCCAACTCCAGCTCCACACCTAGAGTGCTTGTGGTATTCACGATGATACAGGTGTGTTCGGGAGTAACGACGGAGTGGATCAGGTCGCCAAGGTCGTAGAGGTCTGGGAGGGCCTTGACGCATAAAACCACATAGTCATAGCCTTGCTCTCTAGAAGGGGCCTCATCGGTTGAGCGAATCACTATTGCGACATGAGAGATTAGCTTGCTTCCATGGCCTTACTTGGAAGTGAATGGTACGTACCATGTCGGGGTTTGAAGCGTTCGTTCCCAAAGACCTTTGACCTGCAAAAGGAAAGCCATCAATTAGCATCGCATTTCCCAAAATCAAAGGGCGCACACAGCAGGGTACAATGGGGAATGGCCTCGTACTTGAACGAAATGCCGTATTGGGATACATGGTCATAGTTCTGTTTCCACACCAAAGTAACGTCACAGGCGTTGGTAGCTTGAAGTCTCCATGCTAGGAAAGCCGAAATCGCGTTTCCGCCCACTACAAAATGCCGAGTTAGTTTCAGTGGCATTTGAAAGATGGATTCCGATTGCACCAGGTGGTTGTTGCGTAGATGGTCCCGTCAATCGAGACAAATTCAGCCAACATGAAAGCTAGACATACCAGAAAGAACCCGAAGCCGGGGAGTTGAAGGAGCCATTGGACCTATAAGTCTACCGCAAGAAAGCGCAATCCAGCTTTATCGACGATGCGGCCGAATCGAGCAGCCAGAGAAGAAGGTAGCCGCAAACTCCCGGCGCAATTGTTGGAAGCAACCACCAGCGTGAATTCCAATCGTCCCTTTCGTTGTCTTTTGATTGCCGGAGTGGTCCGGCAACGTCGGGTTTGGAGAAATGATGCTGTTCACCGCGATTGCGTATTAGAATATTAGGGCATTCCCGAGTCAAACGAGTGATGGACGCTTTCGCGAGGGCAATTGAGGAAGAACGAGGGTGAGGGGGGTAAAAACCCTCCGGTTGGGTTCGAATTCAACGATGGCTCGGATCTCTCAACCGAAAGGATAGTGTATAAACGAGAGCCAGAGCGACTGGGTTTGAGGAGGGGAATGAAAGTTGAACGGGAAGGTAAAAAAAAAAAAAAAAAATAGGAAAACCAGTACTCTGTAAAAGACGACGGAAACCCGCACGAGAAAGAAAACAGCGAAACTGAGACCCAGGGGAGAGAATCACACGGTGAGAGCAACAGGAAGGGTTCAAACGAATGGGAGAAAATCGAGAAGATGGCTGGTGCCCGGTGCAGTGGAGGAGGAGGAGGTGATGATGTTGATGATGGAGGAAGAGACGGAATGACGGGGATGAGTTGGCTAGGCCAAGAGGATAGTGGAATACCTCAAAGAACCCGTACTGTCACGTAACCCGGAGTTCTTTGGGATGCACTTTGGACGGTTTGCGCTGGGTTTTCAGGCATTTGCCAGGGTAAATGAGACGTACGTAATGAACGCAAAAAGTCACTTCTGACCCTTCTCCCCTGGTCAGATCCGGCGACTAGCTTTTGCTGTGTTTCGTTTTTGCGAGTTGGGAGGCGCGGGTCTTCTGGATTCGAAATTATCTTAATTAAAGACAGAATCGAGCCCCAAAAGACGACAGAGGGGCCAGCGGGCTTCGAGCAACGGGGAAAACAGGGATGGAGAACCAGCAAAGCAAGGACTTCTTTTGGCTTGTTTAACTAGCAAAACCCGTAGGGCAGCAAAGGGAAGAGACCACCAGCGCTTGGGAGGGTCCCTTTCTCTCCCCCCCGTCTTTTTTGCTTTTTCCGCGAGTCGCTAGCGTACCCTGGAAGTCGATCCCAGGCAAAACGCGTCCACAAAGGAACGTCTGCTGGTGGAAAAGACGATGAAAGGTAAGCCAGATGCCGCCAATGGATGAAGAAGCAGAAGATGATGAAGGAAAGAGGAAATGAAGAGAAAGCTCACGGAATTGAACTGAGATGGAGGTTTTGCCGCCGGAACAGAGGTGTCCAGAGAGTGATTTGATGGATACGGCCCAACAGTGAAGAACACATACGGGTTGCCCGTAAAACCACTAGTAAATTGGGTCTCCCATGGGCCATGTCGTCGTTTATTTTGGAACAGCCGCGCCGAGAAAACGAGCAGCCAGCAAGAGACCGGTCTCTGCGTGCTGGCCAGGAGATTGCACAGAATGATGAGGAACAACTCCTGGACAGCTGGGGGGGCCCATGTCTATTGCTCATCATCGCGGGTGACATGGTTGGGGACTGGTGAGGAGTTCACAGGAAGAAGGAGAGAGAGTGTGCGAGTGTGTGGGAGAGAGGAGAAGAGGTTCACAATTCTACAACTACTGATTACATTTTGCAGGCTGAAAGTGCGCTAGAGTGTTATGGCAAGCGAGAGCTTCTCTGGATGTTCTCGAATATCTAGATGACAGGCACGTGAGCTGGATATGCTTCCTTTCTGTTTCCATGGCTTCCCATTGAGATGCTAACCTGTTCCTAGCAGCTCATGGTTTGCCTGGTTTGCCTGTCAAAGAGGAAGTTGGGAAGCAGCAGATCTATGGACCATGGGTGTGGAATGGACCATTAGCAACAGAGACCCAAGCGCAGTAAAGCTCATGGGAAGCATGCTCTGCAGCAGCCCTGTGTATCGGTGATAAGCCCGTTGGCTTTGCCGTCGACAGTGTCGTCGTCTGACAGGTTCCCTGCGCTGTCTGCAGCGACCTTTGAGCGTCCGTCAAGCAGTACATATGTCCACTTCCGTTTCTTATATAACTTACCTGATATCAAAACGGCATCCCTTGAAACAAACAATAATACAGAAAAACAGCGAGAGACCTGCAGGTATGATTGCTGCGTATCAATGCTTGTATTTCCGGATACGGCGGTAATGCTGCGGCCTGGTCTGTGCTGGTCCACTGCCCTGTTTTGCATACGTGGATCGTACGTAATTAGAGTTCAGTACCGAAATGTGGATCGCCGACCCAGCCCGCTAATGCAAGTAGGGCAATTTGCAGCACGCTGATTCGCCCAGCGGTTCTCGTGCCTGATCCGAATCTGGCGAGTGGGTCCGGCCCTTCCCTGTTTTGCTTCCACAGACGTAATCGTGGCTGGTTGGATCCCCAGCGCTAGCAGCTGAGTCAGACCAGTCACGTGATGGAGCAGTCGAGACTCGCTGCTGTGCGAGGGCGGATGTCTGAGGCATGTCCTACCTACTATGTATACTATCAATGGTGTCGAGAAAGGGGAGGTGGATGCGCCGAGTGGAGAGCTCGGTTTGCGAGTGAGCTCCTCTGCAGTGGGCGACCCGGCGCATTGACTCTCCATAGTCTTAACGAAAGCATGCAAGCCTCTTTAACCATTAACTATTGAAGTGATCGCCACAAACCAGCACACGACCCATCAAATCACCAGTCCCCAATAATTGCAATCATTATTGTGTGAAGAACCCCCTTTACGACTTTCCACCAGCAACAGTAGTCGATCTTGGCTTCCTTGCGCCTGGAGAACTCCCATGCCGTCGATCCACTGGCGTTCTCCGTAGTGACATCCAGGCCAGAGCCCAAAGCTCCTCCGCGAAAGGATCGCCCGAACTATTCATAGACGTCAATGCAGATCTCAAGCGAGAATATCGCGATTGCCGGCTGACATCATCATTATATCCCCGAAAAGGAGCCCACCGGGATTCACAGCCCTGTTGGATTCCCTCAACACTTAATGGAGTACGGAGGAGAGCGTATGATAATAAAAGCAGCGGGAGTGCTTCAAGCCTGTTTAAACAGCAGCTACTCCGGAGTGAATCTGAACGTTGAAATAGCAATTTTCGTACTCCCTGTTGTCTGTAGCATGCTAATTCCATAGTACTCGGTACTGAGAGGTTCTTGATAATAATGACAGGCACGTTATTATCCGACAACTCGCCAGCAAACGATCATGAATATGCACGTGGGTAGCGGCATGTTGTCCATCGAAATGCGATCCCAAATAGTCTCGTCCGACAGCTTGCTGCAGGATTTGCTTTTGCGGTGCAAGTTCGGATGGCCTACGGAGTACTTGCTTGGTCACTCGATGCGTCCCTGTCCAGTGCCACAGTGTGAAGCCTGCTGGGAGAGATGCATCTGGGTTCATAACAGACTCTCTCACAGGAGTTGAGCCCCTTGACTGCTGAGTTAACCTGTCGGTTAATTGAGATAGTTGAAACCTTTCACTCATTCGGGCTGCGCTGCTCCAACGAGAATAAACCTGATTTGAACGCACACCTCAAGGAACAATTTGGGATAATAACCGTTCGAAACACCTCGTTTGATGTTGCTCGATTGTAGATGACTAACTAAATGTCCCCAAAAGGGGCTTAGCGCGATATTTGACACCTCGCGTTAAATCGCGTCTTCTCGATGGACCGCGTTTTCTCATTTGTCGACAAGTGTTCTGGCCATCAGAACCGACGGAGAGGAGGTACAGGGCGCCGCTTTCGAGTACGGCCTCAGATCACTGCATTGGCAAATGATTAACAATGGCGTTCGTCCTCAATGCACGCGACACGGACACCTCAGGCTCAGACGATGAGTTCCCGAGCGAAATTCTGGGCTACTCGCAGGCTTTGCATGGATCAAAACGCGCACGGCTAACTCCCCAGCTCGAATCGGAAGATAGCGACAGTACTTCGTCAGTGGGCACCAGCGATGACTCCGATCAATCGGAGCCTCCTCAACGTCGAGGTGCAGACCCCCCGAACCGCTTTGTTGGTATACGTGGGGAGGTTGGGAATGGACAGTATCGCCCTGGGGCGATTGTGAGGATTAAGCTTACGGATTTTGTCACATACTCGTCTGCTGAGATTCGGCCTGGCCCGAAGCTCAATATGGTGATCGGTCCGAATGGAACGGGTAAAAGCACGCTGGTCTGCGCTATCTGTTTAGGACTGGGGGAAGGCCCGCAGGTAAGCATAATGTTTTATTTACCTCCTCGCACCCGGCATATCGTAGATTCCTGTATAACACATGCTAATCGGGTTTGATGGAAATAGCATTTGGGTCGCGCAAGAGATGCAGCCGAGTTTATAAAAAACGGTCGCCCGGAAGCGACCATTGAAATTGAACTGGCTTCTCCAATAGGGAAACGGAATACTGTAGTAACAAGAATCATCAAGCGGAACGGCAACAAGAGCTTATTTGCAATCAACGGGAAACAGGTTTCGGGTAAAAAGGTTCGACAGTTCGCGAGATCATTATCCATCCAGATCAACAATCTTTGCCAGTTCCTTCCTCAAGATAAAGTGAGCGAGTTTGCGGCGCTTACTCCCATCGAGCTCCTGCGGTCAACTCAGCGAGCTGCTGCTCCACGTGAAGTTACTGAGTGGTATGAAGATTTGAACCGAATGCGTGCAGGCCAGAAAAAGCTTCAAGTCCGAAACAGGCAGTATCAAGAAGCACTGCAGACCCTAGAGAAGCGGCAGGAAAATCAGCGCGAGATTGTAGAGAGAATGAGAGAAAGGGTGGCAGTCAAAAAGCGCCTGGAGTATCTTGAGCTTCTGCGGCCCGTCCCCAAATTCAGAGAGTTCAAAGCACAATCAACCGAGGCCAAAAACCGAAGGAGGGCTCTTCTTCAAGAAAAGGAAGCCCTCGAAGCTCAGATTCAACCTATCCTAGAAGCCATCGCTGCGAAACGGAAGTATTTTTCGGAGCTCGTCGACGTCGTTAAACAAAATCGAAAGCAGCACATCAAAGCTAACGAATTTGCAAAAGGATTTTGGAAGCAAATGGATCAAGTCAGCGGAAAGATGAAGGATCTAACAGCACGTATCGAGGCTGAGATCAAGTCAAACTCGGGCTACGTGACGGAAATGAAAAAATTAACGCAGAGCATTGATCGGATTGAACGATTAATGGAAGAAGGTGCTCCCGAATTTGACATCAGTGCTTACAATGCGAGAATTGTATGCCCAACGCTTCTCTTGCATTGTCTTTTTCTATTTCGTTTTTCATGGCTAATAGTGTGCAGCGTGAACAAGTCCTCCGGATGCGCGATATTCAAGATCGGAAATCACAGTTGCAGAGCAGGGAGATGCCGATTATCCGAGACCATAGTCATAACAAGGCCAGCTATCTACAATCTAAACAACGATTAGATAGTTTAGGCTTCCAGGCAGGGCAGCAGGAAGAGAAATTGCGTCGTTTATCTGAAGACACTTACACCGCTTGGCAGTGGCTTAAAGATGAGAAAAACCAAGAGCAATTTGAAAAGCGAGTTTACGGCCCTCCTTTGGTGGTTTGCACTATAAAGGACCCAAAGTACGCGATGGCACTGGAAGGCATGGTGCAAAAGAATGACCTCTGCGCCTTTACAGTGCAAACTCGAAACGACTTCAACAAGCTACAGGAAATCCTTTATCAACAAAAGGAGCTTCATGATATCACCATATACGCCTGTTCCACGCCGCTGTCTCAATTGACCTCACCCGTGTCGGATGAAGCCCTCCAGCAACTGGGTTTCGATGGCTGGGCGAGGGATTTGATATCGGGCCCTGAGCCTGTCTTGGCTACGTTGTGTAGCGAAAACAGCTTCCATACTACCCCTATCATGCTTCGCGACATCTCAAATGCAGAATTCGAACATCTTGAAAACGGACCCATTTCCAGCTGGATTGCAAAAACGCAACATTATCAAATCACCCGACGACGTGAGTATGGCGCGGCAGGCGTTTCCACACGTGTTAGGCGTTTGCGACCAGCCAGGTGGTGGACAGACAAACCGGTTGACGATTCGATCAAAATTGAACTCCAGAACGAGGTTATGAAACGGAAACGCGAAATGGACGAAGTGCAGGCACAGTTGGACGAAGGAAAAGCTGAGCTAGAGCGACTTGAGGCTGAACATGAGGAAGCTTCTGGCGAAAAGGTGAGATTCTTTTTCATGTCTTCTGAGAGGTTTACTAACCTGTTCCTTAGTCTAAAATTGAGCGAGAGAAGGCGGAAAAGCAGGCTGCATTGACTAGCTTCAAGGCTTTACCCACGAGACTTGGTAAGTCGTGCACAATTGCTCTATGTAATCGCACTACTACTAACAGTATGCAGCCCAACAAAAAGATAAACACAAAGAGCTAGTAGAACGTGTATCTCAGTTTAGGAAGGACATCGAGTCTCTGCGTAAGAAGAAGGATTACCTTTCTCTAGAGAAAGCCGTATCTGTCTTGCAATATACAGTAAGTCCTTTCTCATGGTTCCTCTTTTGATGCTTGAGCATGCTGACTCTTTATAGAAATTTGTTGAGAAATACCGCAAATTGCATGAAAATCTAGTGCAAATGCGAGTTCGAGCAGTTGAAGCCCGGTCTGACTGGCAAAGCCTCAAGAAACACAACTCGGATGTGACAGCGGTAGTCGAAAGAAAAAATTGCGAGATTGACGAAGTATCTCTCCTAGTGACCAACCTCAATAAAGAGGCGCCCAAACGCATAGAAGAAATGCGGAAAATTCGTCGCATGGCAGAAGACGACCCAGAGCTATCCCAAATGATCGGAAGTATCAGTCAGTATAGCTGTGATCAATTGGAAGCTGAGATAGACTCTGCAAAGGCTACGTTAGATCTCACGTACGAAGGCAATAGCTCCCGCGTAATCGAGGAGTTCGAGCGCCGTCAACAGCAAATTGACAAACTAAACAAGAAATATGAAAAAATCCAAAAAGATTTGGCGGATTTTGAATATGGAATCGCGGAAGTTCGAGGAAAATGGGAGCCTACTCTCGAGGCCCTCATACAGCGGATCAGCAATGCATTCTCCAATTTCTTCGCGCGCATCGGATGTGCAGGACAAGTCAGTATCGACAAAGGAGAAGATATCCCCGACGAGAATGGCCGCCTGGGCGACACTAGCGACTTTGACCAATGGTCAATCCGCATCCAGGTCAAGTTCCGTGAACAAGAATCCCTGGCCGTTCTTAATGCACACAGACAATCCGGCGGCGAGCGCGCAGTAAGCACGATTTTCTACCTCATGGCTCTCCAATCGCTGTCTGCCTCTCCGTTCCGCGTCGTGGACGAAATCAACCAAGGTATGGATCCGCGCAACGAACGCATGGTCCATGAGCGTATGGTTGAAATTGCATGTGGACAAGCCGATTCAAAGGATGCTGGTGGACAGTACTTTTTGATAACTCCTAAATTGCTGAATGGGCTGCGCTACCAGCCGGGAATGACGGTGTTGTGTGTGTATAGTGGAGAGTACATGCCGGAGGATTACAAGAAGCTGGATTTTGGGCAGTGCGTCTTGCGGATGAAGAACCTAAAAGAGGCAAGGAGGAATAAATTAATGAATGGAGGAGAGGACGATGGAGAAGACAGTGCATAATCTGAAAAACAGCTTTGGGGAATGTTGGATTTTTGTCACTTTTAGCGATGTGAAAGGGCCGGATTTTATCGATTTCAGGCATATTTGTCGATTCATACTTTGCAAAGAAATACTTAGTACAAATATTTAGCCGCCTCTACGTCGAGTCGACTTGCAACTAGGGCTTGCTTCTGCAAATTGGGACCCTGCTCCTTCACAAGCTGTTCATGGCCGAGTCTCGCTGCTTGACCTTCCCTGACGCATTCGCTCGCCCTTCGACTTCCACTCCCTTGACCACGATGCAACTTCATCGACCTTTCGATCCAAATCCGCGCCGCGGCTGCAAGCCCATTATCCGCTTCCGCCTCCCGTTCCACGATTTGTCGGACTCGTGTCTCCATCTCACTCTCACCTAGACGTGGACTGTTCGATTTTTCTTGGTTCATTTTGTGTGCCTTTAACCCGCCGATGACCCCGATATTTCGTGTACTGGGAATTCGCATCATCGTCTTCTCAACGTCGTATCCGAGTTCTGTTGCGATACTCATGAGTTTGGCGGTTAGAGCAGCGTACGTGGAAGATGATATATCGAGCTTGTCATGTTCAGAATATTTCATGCCGCGGAGAGCTTTCAGGTCACCGGTGGCGGGTTGGGGGTTTTGATCGTGTTCGCTAAGACTCTCGGTTTCAGCGGATAGCGACGTGGTTGTCGCAGATCGTCTCTTCGGGGGTGGGTATCGAAACCTAGCACCCGATATAGAGTGTGAGCAGCAAGGGATGGAGAGGAATGGTAATGGCGACGTCGGATCGGCTAGTACCCCAAGGAGAGGAGTCCAGATTGTGAGTTCGTCGGCGTGGTTCGATATGATGAATGTTCCTTTTTTGAATATTCCGTCATTTGTCTCGATGTTAGCCGGGATCGTTTGGGACGCTGTCGGGGAAGCGTAGCGAAATATTGATGGTATGCATATGCTTTCTTTAAGGCATTTCTGGGTTGAAGGTGGATATGTTTCCCAGCTTTTTCTCCGTCGTGCATCAAAGCCCCAGCCTGTATAGCCCTCCTCGCGAAGGAGGTAAACTAGCACACCATTGCCGCATGCTATATCTACAAAACCTGGAAAAGAAGCAGCACCTTCTCCGCTCTCCTCACTTGCATCATGTCCGTTCAAAGAAATTGGTCGATACATCTTCTTCCATAGTTCAATTAAGAAAGCCGCTATTGAAATGTCTTCAAACACATGTTTCGAAGGCTCAGTTACCTCGACCCAATTTCGAATCAGGGTCGAAGCATATTTATCTTTTAGTTTCGCATATGTTGTTTGGACCACATGCTGAGGGATAATGTTATCTTTGAATGGCCGCGGGTTGCTTCCGGTCGGGTTAGATGTAGCTGCCGGGCTGCGAGCAAGACGAACCTGTGCGGTCAAAAGCGCCAGGAACGTACGCTCGAGGCGGTATGGTATAGATTCTGGAATCCCAGTCGAAAATGGTATGAAATGGAGTGACAAAACTCCCGTGCCCTTGGTCGTCGCACTATGAGCGTTATTTGGCACTGGTGCAGAGAATTCGTACAGAAATCCCAGCGCTCGAATGGAAGGATGGTAAAAGGGAACCTGTTCCTCCGAGGAAAAATGGGGCAGATATATCAGCAGACATCTCTCCAATTCAATGCCCTGGTTGTCTTGGAAGCTTTTATGTGAATAAAAATGGCAGGTTTGATCCAATTCAGAATCAATTTTCTTTCTAGGGATAAACCTCCTCAGAATAGTCCTTGTTAAGGTATATCCATCAAAATCTGGAGCAGGTAGTCGCTCAACGGCTAGCTGGTCATGGGCATTGGTAGTGTTGTTTTGAGGGCCAAGGACGGCTCTTTCTTTTTCTTCTGGAGATTTCAGTATACCGGCGCTGTCAAACAGGATATCCGCCCGGAAAAGGTGGCCTGACGTTAAATTTGGATTTGCCAGGAGATGTGTCGCAGAGCCCAGGAATATGCCGGGCTCAAAGTGCAAATCAGACAGGCATAAGTCAGAGGAGGTGACCCAGTTTTCACCGTTTGCAGCCAGATGCGAAGGCCTGAAGGTACCACCAAGTCCCATGGCCCTAGAGATCTTCTACTTCGAACAACAGAGGGCTGGAAATGCGATGCTTGGGAGGTTCATCGTTGCTACTCCGTACAGACTGTGACTTGAATTGGCCCAGAGTTGCGCACGTGACCGGCTCCCAGCGCCAACGCCATGTCTTCACACTAACTACACACCAAGTGTACTCGCTCCAGACTACAGTCTTTTGCAATGTCAGTCTGCGTTAGGCCTATACACAATCACAAAACAACTGCAAGATTGTATCTGGCTTGCAAGGCACGTGCTATATTCCGTGGCGACGGTGTAGCAAAAGTCGACTAATGGGAGTTACAGGACAGAAAATAAGAAAAGGGTGGTGATAAAAAGCATCAACCACTTTCGACTACAAAACGAACGGAGTATTTCACTTCGTTTTCAGCGCCTAACGCCCTTCATTCACCTGCTACTTGATGAGATTGAAGAACCCACCGGCCTCCCTGCCTTAGCATTGAGATACTTGGACGATGATATTCTACGAGCCTCTACTCGCCAGCGGCTCACTCGTCCAGAGGTGAAACATGTTTCCAAAGCTGTGCTGAAAGCGCTTTCAACCTTGCATAATGCAGGTTTTGTCCACACCGGTACTTGTCCAAACTCAAATTGCTATGCCTTCTGAAGATGGTCTAATTAAAATGTAAAAGACATCAAGCCCAGCAACGTGTTGGTAAATTATGGGCAAGGTGAGGGCCGATTTGCATGTGTGCAGGTAGCCGACTTTGGGAGCACGGTTCGCGAAGACTCACTTTATGCCCGGAATGGTGATCCTATTGGCACACCAATATTTAGAAGCCCTGAGGCGCACCTCCAAATGGAATGGGGCACTGCAATTGACATTTGGTCTTTTGGCGTAATGGCAAGTTGTTATTCCAGCATAATTGTTCACCAAGCTAACCTCTGATGCGGCTTATCAGTCTCCTATATGGGGAAGGATTCCACATTTTCAAACCCGATGTTTCAGCTGATCATGATGATTATGATTTCAAGATCCTCATGAAGCATCATCAATGCTTCGGCCCATTTCCAGAATCATATGAAGAGATTGCTGACAAACAAATGTTGGCGGTGCCTACATGGATCATGCGAAATTGCTCCGCGAAGACTTTAAGGCCGTTTCATCTCACTACACCACAAGAGATTCATTAGGAAGACAAAGAGTTTGTGCTGAGGATAATGAAACTTGATTCCAGGGACCGACCAACTGCCGACGAACTCTTGGAAGATAGATGGCTTCACCAAGTCAATGACTGAACAAACAACTAGCCCGAGGATCCAACGTCTTCCACTGTTGTGCGCCCTCCTGTGCCCACTGCCGTCCCTCTATTGACTAAATCGCCTACCTCCTGTATGCTCAAACGTACGCGATTTCCTTCCGCCAGCCTATTCCCTCGAAAGTGTACACTCTTTCCTTCCCCCTTATCATCGAAGCAAACGCCGGTGTTACCGTTATGCTGAGTTGCTTAACGCTTGGGAAGAAAAAGCTTCTTTGCTAAACTTTTGACAACTGTCTTGAGTTCCCGGTGATACCAAGTCTTTTCTTGAACTCTGGGCCTTTCTGGTACGAGACGGGCTCAGGCCTGGCCGGGCGGCACAGGAATATGGACGGATCCCTGCCAAACCTGGGGTGCCAAGGAAGGCCTGGGCTTTTGATTTGACAGCCCGGACTGTGAGCATCAACTTCAGCATCAACTTGCGATACTATGTTTGAAGCACATTTGCATCGAGAAGAATTTAGTCCAAGTTGTTTGATGATAATAACTATGGCAACATCAATGCTTTGCAGAACAAGATATTTGTTCGGGCCAACATGGGTTTTTAGTTAACTCTGCACAGTTATATATTCCCAAAAAGCATGCGCCGATGACAACCGCATGTGCTGCACACTACACAACGCAAGACGTGGTTGTTTGCTGTTCGAACTCAATTTTCTGCGGCTCAGGAATTTTCAACCCAAATTTCTTCGTCATCTTTTGCCAGTAGCTCGCTCTGTCGTTTAGGCGAGGGAACGGCTCGTCAGGGACTGGAACCTCCAAGAATTTACAAAGTGGCTCCCATCCCTCCTTGACTGAGTACTCAAGGAGGTTGTCTTTCCTAACTGTTTGCCGCACCATTTCATTGTGTTTGTGGAAAGCTTCCTTGCCCGTTTCCTTAAAGCCGTCGGGAAAGCTGGTTTGCCAGACTTTTGTCAGCAGCTCTTTACGAATGGCCTTCAAATGGTCCGGCTCAAATCCTCCGGTTTTGACGTTGTCTATGTTGCTTAGAGCTGCAACGATTGTATTCGTCGTCGACCTGGTTCAAGATCCGTTTGTTAGAGAACCGCCACTGTGTCAGAGGCCCAAGCTCTTACGTATACCACGCATCAACATCCCTCGTGTTCATCACAACTTTAGCATCTGGATAAGCCTTCACCAGCTCTGGAATAAAAAGGGCGGCGGGAACGTCCGTCACGGCCTAGGTTAAACGTCAGAATCAGTATCTGTGTGATATTCCTTTTGTCTCTGCCATTCAGCCCTACTGACTTGACAGTGCCCAAGAAGTTTGTCCCAGTCTTCTTTTTCGAAAGTTCCGATGCCATCGTACTTTGCCCGAAACGCATCCAACCACATTTCGCAGTCCCTAATATTTTCATACGCTGCTGACTCCATATGATATGTCTGCTCATATCCAAGGCGTTGTAACGCAGCCCTCAGTGCTAGAAAGATGTGTTAAATCCAAATCCAAATTTTGACCCGTCGCAATCTAGAAGTGTGTGCGACTTACACGTTGTCCCAGTTTTTGGGAGACCGGTACAAATCACCCGCATGGGCACCACGCGAGTGCAAGTGCGGCGATCAATATCAGTACCTTTGGCGAATGAATCCTCCATGTCGAATCTTTGTTGTTCGAAAAATAATTGGTTAAACCACTCTTTTCTACTAATGTGTAAGCGATAAGATGTCCGCCGGGTTAAACAACCTCTATGGTAATTCATCCTGGTCAGATATATATAGTGAAAGAATTGCCAGTCACCAGTACTGTCTTTGCTACAGCGACCCGTGGCAGCGTCAACGCCCGGCGCATGCCAGATGAACACGGGGATGTTTTGTCCCGAGATTTTATTTCGGGCTGCATATGAACTAACTAAGTTAATTCTGCAGGGAATACGACGGGAACACTAGTCGCTCGACAGAAGACATATAGTTGCACCATAGACAGGCGGTCTTGGATTCCTTCCAAATCCACCACCACCCGCACTAATTACTAGAGTTGGCAACGTGTGGGCAAAGAACCGAAATGGACCGAATCCAAGCGTTTTCCCGGATGACTTGGAAAACATGTAGAGTGACAAGTGGAGTTAAAGTGGTTGTTGGATGGTGGGTCAAGTCATGTTATTTCAAATAAATCTGTAAGTGACACGCATATCGTAGCAACGGTGAATTACATCGGCTCATTCCCGCTCATTAGGAAAACGTACTCAGCTGCGGGCTATCAGCACTCGGAGGATCAGAAAACCGTGTTTGAACGAAGATCTTCTGCATTCCCTCTTCCCGCTTGTTGAAAACATCATATATGGCTTCCATGTCCTCCAGCTTGCCGCGATGGGTCACCATCTCCAAAGGATTTATCTTTCCTTCGCGTACTTGGGCAAGAAGATCCTTCCAATACTTGTGTACCGGTGCTTGGCCATTTCCAATCAGACGGACCCCGCGTTGCATGAGAGAGCCTATGTTGAAATGGTTGACCTATTCTGCATTAGCAGGTTCCTCTCTATCCCGAATTGCATGCAAACATACGTAACCAACATATACTCCGGTGACACCGCAGCGGCCGAAACTCTTCACGGATGTAATCATTTCGTTTAACAGCTCAGAAGTATCCGTTTCCATCCCTAACAGCTGCTGAAAATAGTGTGCCCAACTCTTAGCATACTCTCCGGCCGCGCATTCTAGTGCAACATCGGGTCCGCCGTGAACCATCTTATTAAGCATGGAGGTCACAGATTCTCCCTTTGGTAGGTCCGAAAAGTTCACGCATTCCACTTGCGGGATTTTGGATTTGGTGAACTGGAGTCGCCAGGCCCCGTTTCCTCCATCAATAATGATAACGCGGGAAGCGCCATGCATCAAACTAAATCTCGCACACATTTGGCCAATAGGACCTGCACCCCAGATAGCGACGACGTCCCCTTTATTCACCCCCGTGTCGGCGACGCAATGCCACGAGGTGCACAGGACATCTGACAGATATAACCCTTTTTCATCAGACACATCATCCGGAAGAGGAAGAAGATTTACTTCTCCAAATGGCACTCGAACGTATTCCGCCTGGCCCCCGGCAAATCCGCCTGTGAGATGGGAATATCCAAAAATTCCTAGGTTGCTTTGGTCAACTAATAGGACTACTTGATATGAATGCAATATCTTTCATACCTGCGGTTCTGCCACCAAACATCGAAGCCATTGTACTGCTCTCGTTTGTTCTTTCACATTGGGACGAGTGCCCTTTTTTGCAGTACATGCACTGGCCGCACGCAATCTGGAAAGAAGCAACCACTCGATCGCCGATATTCAGGTTCTTGATTGCTGAACCAACGGCTTCAACCTTGCCACAAAACTCGTGTCCGAGAATATCGCCCTTTTCCGTTTCAGATACAACACCTTTTTTTATGTATACATTAGCCCTTGATTGTATTTACAGTGGCACTGGAGCAATGCTCACCGTGGTAAAGATGTAAATCACTTCCACAAATCGTACTTCCAGTGACCTTGACGATAACATCTGTGTCTTCAAGAATCTTCGGCTTGGGCACTACGACTGCGAAAAGCAAATAATTCCAGTCAATTTAGTTCATCCCATTGGCCACCGTATAGGTTCCTTCTTTTCAGACGTTGGATCCAACGACGTACCGACTTTCACATCATTCTTCCCCATCCATACCACAGCCTTCATGGTCTCCCCGCTGGGATCAGAGTACTGATCCGGATCCCTTGCCGGGTTGGAAACATCTTGGGCTGTCGAAGTCATATTAAGACTGAAATTCGGACTTGAAGGCAAGGTCATATATTTGTTCAATTGATCCCGACTTGCTATCCCCCGTAGTGCAACAAATAGAATCGCAAATACCCCAGGTTTTCAGGTCAAGCCTCGTCGCTTTTATCCAAGACTCGCCTCTTCGCCTGAGCTCGATTCGTTGAATCAAGATTCAAGCTCTGCCTGACGTCACTCGAACGCGCAAAACTGGGAGCAATCGGGAGCTTCAAGCCTAACATTTTGCCCAACTATAAAGAGTAATGCTAGTATAGACTCTAATTGTAAGGACCTTGCGCCTTTGAAGTGTGCCGGAGATGAGTATCGATGGGTTTTCGGTTGGTGTTTACTGCCATTGCATCTATTCCAGCACTAGGATTATCTAATCCACAAGATGTGATCGATATATGGATCGCCCATAGCAAACATGAATTGTAGAAGCAAAGGATTCGTTCTATTGACTTTGGACCCAGAACACTTGTCACTACAGACATTGAAGACCATGCCTGACCCGTAAACTAGGCCCGAATCGCGCTTAATAATAAGGGATATTGTCATCTCTGACGGCCACGAAATCTTCAACTCTCATTGTGCTTTGCAAAAGTCCCCTAACTTCATCGCACAAGGAGTACAAAGTACTAAACGTCATCAACAGCACACGTTTTCGCGGTCCACGATACGCATTGAAATCAATTTCCATTTTCTTTTCGACCAGCCATTGGAGCAGGTAGACAACGTCCGCCAGGTACCTCTTTGCATCACAATGCTCCGGGGCGAAGTTCCAAAGGCGTGCCATGGCAATTACAAACACTTTTGGGTGCAGAACCTGCATGCAAAGCACGGAGTTGATAGAACAGCAAAGTTTCGGTGACCACGAGATCCAGGGAAGCAAGTATGGGTCTTGGTGGCTTTGGTGGATTTCAATGGAAATCGGGTCTGCGCTGATGTATCCGACATGCTGTTTTCAACCCGGGCACGGGCGATGTTAGCCTCTTGTTGCAGGAGACAAAATAAGACGATCAAATCCAGGGAATGCGAGCGGCTACTTACTGGATCATATACAAGGCCCAGGCTTGAAGTTACGGCAAAAGGTTCGCCTGAGTCGAGGAGAACATTGATAGCATAGTCTTCATCGCAGTCGACTATGATTGTGAGGGTTTTCTGGCAGCTGTCGTATTCAGGGCCATCGGGTCCTTTAACATAAAGAAGCTCGACTGCATAGCGACCAGCAACAGCATACGGGATCAGCCTGGCTGACATGGCGATGTGAACAGCAATAGCGGCGCCCTTGATGTCCATTGTTCAATAATGGGGGAGGAAATTTTCTAGAGTCGGTGGAGGTGGGTTTCAAGCAGATATTCCCAAAGCAGAGAATCTTGGTTCCAAAAGGGCTTCAAATTGAGGTTCATATCTGTTGCTTTCAGAGACCAGAGCATGTATGTTCTACTTGGCTATGGGAAAGATAGACAAGAAGGTGAGTTAACTCAGAGGAATGAATAAACAATCCTCAATCCCAATGGCTGCGGTGTTCTTCGTCCCCATTAGAAAGGGTGCCTGGATGGGGAAAGGAAGAGAAATGAAGTGAGAGAACGTACACAATGTGAAAGAGTATTTGTTGGAACAAATAGGATTCACGGCGCCGAGTCCATGGCAAGAAGTGAATGCATGCACATGTTTTGACTTATTGTTTCTTTTAGCAGAGGGGAATATTCGAATCTGGCTAGGTAAACAAATATGATTTATAGGTCAAGCATTATAGGCCATTTCGCTATGCAGTTTGCCCCAGCCATTTAACATTAAACAGATTGATCAAAAAAAGTTTTCTGTAGTATAACGAAACTGTTAGCTTGAGGCCTGATAATGTTCTATCTGCGCTCTGTAGGGTGTCCCATCATAGTGTTCTATGGGACGAAAAGATATCATATAAAGGGCCTGAATAGAAACATCAAGGCGATGACTGGGGCCTACTGAGGGACCCTCTTACACATCACAACTAAAGCCCATTTAGACCTCTAAAATCAGATATAAATCTCCAGGAGTGACCTTGGCTAGTTTTGCCTGCGGCCATAAGATTTGTGGCAGAAGAATCGCTGTGGCCCTTCTTTAGCACAGTGACTAGCACCATTGGTGCTAGTATGACTGTAGGGTATTGAAGCATAGGGTGCATTCACAGTATGCTTGAGATAGTGAAACACTCTCAACAATGGCATAACAACCTGATTATGCACGTATAATACTGAAGGCCTCGGCCAATCGCAACAGATTTGATAGTCGATTCGATTTCTCTAGGGAATCGTCGAGTATTGTTGGAGCTGGAGATTGAGGATAATCAATAGTAAAATTTTTCCGTTTGGTTTGGATTGCGGAAGAGCACAATTCAACACAAGACTCGAAGGGCGAGAATCTCTCAAATGCGGCCTGTTTCAGGTTGCAATGGGCTGTTTTGACGGCGACAGATGTGCAACTCAGGAACTATTTTCAGAATCATTGATTTCTGGCAGAGTCAATGCGATGGCTGAGGTGACATTGGAATAGGGGTACTTGTCGCCACAGTGATTTGGCTGCGTGCACCGTGGTACTTCTACTCTGTCCTTGGCTAGTGTTAGTTACCTAAGCTTTCAGCTCAGCTGAAGCCCGAAGGGAGCGCGACTCATTTTCTGGCTTGGATCAACTGATTTGGGTCGAAGATCACGATCCTCATTGGATGTCGGGCCTGAGAGGGACATTCTCGATCCGTGCCCTGCTCCTTTCTCTTCATCCTCGACCTTTGCTCCCAATCCTTCCTCTCGCCCTCTCGCGACTCGGGGAATTCGCGTGTTTTCGAGTCTGTGTACTGGTATTGCTTGAGTCTTGTTATGGAAATACGTCTGACCGGACGAGCATCGAAAACAATAATAACACACGTTCTCTGTATAGAGGTTTTAAACCTTCACGGCAATACGCTGTCTGGCGGAATACAGTGAGTTTCCTTCGATACAGCTAACATTTTCGTGGTGGGAATGTCAAGCGAGCACGGACACGGCAGTATGCAACGCTTACTAATCGGGTACCATTTCAGGTCACGACCAGTTAGGAAAAACGTGACATAAAATACGCTACGCTGTTTCTGACAGACCACGGTATTGGTCAAGAAAAACAGGAGCTGAACCCGAAATTCGTGACAACTCAGAACCACACCACGCAACCATTCTGGTTTCTTTTCTTTCTTGCCAAAAAGCACCCGCCCACCCACCCAAATCTCGTCCGTATCACCACTCCTCATCAGCTCGAGGGCTGTTTTATCGGGACTTCCCATCAATTTTTCAAGACGTCTTCTCTTCTCGATCCCTCGTTTTTCGTTCCTTTACAGTTTCTTTCTCAACAATACGATGGGTCGTACCGTCAACCAAGAGGTTCAGGCTGGCAATCGTGGAGGTTCGCGCCAAGGAAGACGAAAAGGTGAAACTTCCGTATTTCATGTACGTGGGTAATACTTCGATATAAACTCTATTACTGACCCTCGAACCCACTCTTGTATAGTGGCCTGTCAAGTGCATTGTACTCCTACTGGCAGCAGATTGCGGGCAAAAGAACATCAGACCGGGCAAAGCAGCGATTCGCTCGGGGTGGTCCTGGCGTGGGCGTGGGCCA